CAAACAGGCCGGGTCCCCCGGGGCCGAGAGGGGCCGCAGGCGGAGGCTGCTCGTTCAGGGTCCCCGTGGCGCCGCCCCTCCCCCACAGCTGGACGGCGCCCCCCGGGGGCACCCAGGGACACCTGTGGCCGAGAACGGGCTATTTCAGGTGGACACCGGGGCTGGGGCACTGAGGGCTCAGGAGGGAGGCTGGGGATGGGCCTTCTTGAGGCCCAGGGAGCAGAGTATCTGAATGATGCTCAAGGGCCTTGGCTGGATGGGGCCACAGGCAGAGGCAGGACACAGCGGCGGTGCCACTGCAAGGACTGGGCCCCGAGTGGGAGTTAGCATCTTTGTGGAGGACATCGGTGGTCAAGGACCAGGCTCACGTGGGCTTGGGGAGACCTGCACCCCTCTGTGCCTCAGTTTCTGCGTCCGCAGAGTGGGGGTAGTGACAGCCTTCTCCCCCCACAGGCGGAGGTGGAGACGGGGGAGGGGGGAGCGAATGCCGGCACAACACTCGGGTCTGGCCCACGGGAGGCTCAGGAGGTATCGACAGGGATCTTTACTCCTTGTCTCTGACTTTGCCCCCCAGCAGGGTCCCCTCGGGTCTCCGGGCAGCATGGACGACTGTGCTGGGTGGCGGGCGCTGGGGCCACGGGCGGCGTGTCTCTCGGAAGCTTTGCGTCTCTGGCATGGAGTGGAGGGAGCCGGTGTGGGTCACTTCAGAAACTGCCCGGGGCAGCGTGCAGGGGCAGGACCTTGTCCCGAGGAAGCGGGGACTCTGTCCACGTCACAGAGCTTTGCCTCCACCAGCACGGCCGTTTCAGTTTTCTCCACACCCAGCCGGTCCCGGTGCCACCTGGTCATTCCTACCTGTAGGCAGAGGGAACCACAGAGGCTCTGGGAAGTGAGATCCGCAGAGAAGGGGACGCCGTTGTCCCCTAGTGCTGCCCGCCCTCCCCGAAGCCCCCGTCCGTGGCCCCTCCAGCCCAGGAGTCGGAACAACTCGCTTTTGTCTGGCGTTTGCACAAGTGAAGCTCCGTCCTCAGATGTCCGGGGGGCTTTGCTCGCTGCTCTCCAGGGTTTGCCGGGAGCCTCAGTGCAGCTCTGTTACCGGCTTTGCTGCCCGACGGGGCCCGCGGGGCCGGGATCAAACACGGCGGCCCGTGCAGAGGGAGGGCGGGCGCCTCCAGCACGTCTGTAGTGCTAATGAGCGGCTGTGCACATCCCAGGTCCCGGGGCTAATTCCCAAACAGCCAGATCAGAAACAGGCCTAAAAGCCCGGTTTGATAAATTTCCAGGACGCCAACCCTGAGCGGAGCAAAGGGGAGATTGGAAGTCCTGTTTACCTTCCGCGGTCTGTGGTCTGGGGACAGCCTTTGACGAGCTGTCACTCCCTGACTCACTCATTCTCTCCCCCTCTTCCTTCATCTCCATCTGACTCCCCGGGAAGTTCACTCTGGAATTTCAGGATGCATGAGCCCAGCAGACGTCCTTTGTGGGGAGGTGACCCCAGTGCAGCTGGGCTGGCTCCCCCCTGGAGGGAGGGGACACACGGTGCCCAGCCCACCCAGGAGCCGGGACTCCACTCATTGGCCTGGTCAGTGGCCACTGGCATTGCTCACCTGGGCCCTGGGCCGGGTGCTGGGGACCATACAACGCTGCTGTGCCCCCCACCCTGCTCCCAGCAGCTCACACAGTGCAGGTGGGGGCCCTTGGGGTCCATCTCCGAGGCTCCTCGAGAAGCCCGGTCCAGCAGTCAGCAGACGGGCCAGAGCAGCTGAGGTCTTCACCTGACCGTGCGCCCGCGGGCGGGGGGCGTGGCGCTCACACCCTCCCGGACGCCCCGCCTGCCCGTGTCCTCGTCCCTTCCAGGCCGGGCGCCGTGTCTCCAGGGCTCCTTGACATCAGACGGACGAGCCAACCTCTGCGGCCCCCAGCCCTGTCCCTGGCCTTGTTGATTAGTATCCTTCCCCTCGGCGGAGTCCGTTTCGAAAAAGGAGAAACCGAACGAAACCACACAAGTGGGTCTGCGGCCGGGAGCCTCCTGGGAGGGCAGGCGGGCGGCCTGGGCCTCCGCGGAAGGCGGGAGGGCGGGGCACGCGCTCAGGTGGGGGAGGGTCACCTGGGGGCTCCGAGGTGTGGGGACTGCGGCCCATCCTGGCCTCACCATCTGTGTAAGCACGGAGGAGGGAGGACAGCACCCAGTGTCTGCACCCGGAGCAGGCCCGGCCACACACCCTGAGCCTGCTCCCCCCAGAGGACTCAGCCCCAGGGTGACCCCCCACCCCGTCCCTGTCCCACGAGGCGGGGCCCCCGGACCCCCAGCCTCACCAGCTGTCGCTCCGATTCTCCCTGCGACGCCCGTCTCTGCAGCGTCCTTGCCTCCAGATGGCCCCTCGATCTGTGCTCTGTGCAAGCAGACCGTTTCCAGCGTACATCCCGGCGCTGCCTGGGCTGTCACTACAGCACAGTGAGCTCTCCCAGGGCGCGTTCTCTTCTCTGCTTGTTTATTTCCCTGGGAAGACGGAATGGCAGTGGGGGCCCAGGCGCTCAGCCCTTCCCCGCAGACCCAGCAAGGCCGGCCCTGCCCCCGCTCGCTGGGCGCCCAGACCACCCCTCCCACCCCAGTGCGCAGTTTCCCCGACGCAAGTCGAGGGGGTGGGCCGACATTCTGGCATTGGGTGAGTGGCCGGGCCTCCAGGCGTGAGCCTGTGTGGACTGAGCAGTGCCCCCAGCGCAAGCCCCCCGGAACCTCAGAACGTGGCCCGATTTGGCAGCAGGGGCTCGGCAGGTGTAATTAGCTAAGGACTTCGTGATGAGGTCCCCGTGGATTCAGGGCGGGCCCCGCACCCGGCGACTGGTGTCCTTACAGAGAGGAGAGACTCACAGAGAAGAGGGTCCAGTGAGGACGGAGCAGAGACGGGGGTGACTCGGCCACAAGCCAGGGGCGCCTGGGGCCCCCAGCAGCTGCAGGAGGCAGGTAGGGCCCGCCCTGGAGCCTCAGGAGGGAGCCGGGCCCTGGGACACCCGCGTCTCGGACTTCTGACCCCCAGAACTGTGACAGAACACTGTCGTTTCAAGCCCTCCTTCTGCAGGACTTTGTTACAGCCCTGGATGCTCTGTCTACACCTAGAAGAGACGGCCCGACTGGGGAGGCCCCCCGTGTCCCCGCCTCACATGGTGCGAGGGCCTGCGGAGCGGGAGCTGTGGACGGTGAGGGGGCGGGAGCAGCGAGGACCGGGGCTGAGCCGTGGCCCCTCCCCAGCAGGGACAAGGGGCTTGGCCAGCAGCACGGGCTCCCTCCAGGTGGCCACTTGGTCCCCGCTGCTCGCCAGCATGCCTCGGGCGTGTGTTTCATCGTCCCTGCGCAGAGAGGCCGTGTGTCCCGGCCCAGCACTGGCTGTGCGGCCGCACGGACGCAGGAGAGGGTGGGCGCTGGCGCTGGCGCGCTCCTGCAGCTGACTCGCGCGTGGGGCAAGCAGCGTTGGAGCCCACCTGCCTGCCCGTGCCAGCCCGAGGCCGCTCCGAGCGGCTCCTTCCCCGAGTCTGAGCTGAGTCTGAGCCCACCTGCTCAGCGCCCGGCGGGGGCAGCAGTGATGGATGGACGAGAGGCAGCCCCAGCAGGGCCGGCAGGTGAGGGACAGCCAGCACACATCGGGAGGGGCTTCCCGTGGTGACGCAGGAAGTCAGCTGGGTCTCCCTGGACCTCACCCGTCTGCGCCTCCCACAGCCCCTGTCCTTTCTCCCGGCCAGTCTGTCCTGTGGGCTCTCGCCTCTGCACCACCTTTTCCCGCATCCCAGCTTCTCTGGGCAGCTGTGGGCAAGAATCAGCGGGACACACTTCTGTGTCCTGAAGGCACAGCCCAGGCCTGGCCCTCCTAGTCTGTGGTCGCAGACACGCCTGTGTGTGGATCAGGAACCCCGATTCCTAGATGGAGGTCTGAAGCTGGCGGGGGCCAGGAACCCACGAGTCAATCACTCATCATTCAGCGTATGTTTGGTGGGGCCCCTCGGGGGCTGGGTTTGCACTGAGCTGTGGGACACACTCCCTGCCCTGGGGCAAAGGGGACCCACTAGCCCCCCAAAAGGCTGGGACCGCCAGGACAGCAGGTGCACAGGGCCCAGGTGGGGCATTTGCCTTGTGGTCCAGGACAGACCTTCTGGGCTGGTCCTGGGGGATGAAGGGGTGCAGGGCGTGGGTGCGTGGAAACCTAGAGTGGGAGGAGGGTGTCGAGTGTGCACAGGGAGCACGGAAAGGGAGCCCCAGGGGTGAGCCCAGCACAGCAGGAAGGCCCCGCCGGTCCAGCCCAGGGGTCCCTCCCCCTGGGAGCCATGGGAGCCAGTGGGGCTTCAGACAAGAGAGGGACACCTTGGGTGTGCTTGGTTGCCGCGTGGGGACAGACTGGGGGCGGGACAGAGACGTGGAGACGGGTGGGAATCCGTGAGTGTCCTCCAGGCAGGGAGGGACCGGCAGACTGGGGGGCGGGGAGGCGCTTTGGGGGCCGAGTTATCAGCACTCTCAGGATTGGATGGGGGGCTGGAGTGTGGGGAGGGCGGGAGGTGGGCGGGGTGAGAGCACGTGGGGAGGAGGTGTGGGGGCAGATGGCACCTCCCGCAAGTCCTGCTGGGTGACCCCAGGGGGCCAGGGCTCTGCAGACACAAAGTCTGGCCCCCGCGTGCCTCCTCGGCCTGGCCAGCTCAGCTCCCTGAGCCGGGCATCCTTCCAGCGCCCTGGGCCTGGAGTCAACACCACCCCTCTTTCCAGGGGGGCCTGAGGCCCCAGGAGGGGGGCTTGCCTTTTCATGGCCCCTGATCAGGAGTCTCCCCTTGCCCAAACTTGAGTCAGGCTTCCCCGAATCTCCTTCCCGACCACACCTTCACCTTCGCATTCCTGGTCCAGCTCGACAT